GATGATGTATAAATCTCAATTTCGAAAAATTGACCCTTATGACTGTTTTTGTGGTCCAGGGTCACATATACATGCTTTTACCTTTTTATTTTTTATATGCACTTAATTTTATCTATCTATCTATCTATCTATCTATCTATCTATCTATCTATCTATCTATTTGCATTTCAGTAATATTAATTTGTATTTTTTTCTGTATTATTTATTTAGTTATTTATTTATTGGGAAATATGTTTCAAGTGCCGCTCAGGACTGTCACTTTAGATTACATTATTTTAATAAAAAGTTTTGAAGTGAAGTGACATGTGGAGTAGTGGTGACCCATACTCGGAATTTGTGCTCTGCATTTAACCCATCCAAGTGCACACACACCATGAACACACACCCGGAGCAGTGGGCAGCCATATTGCTGCGGCACCCGGGGAGCAGTTGGGGGTTCAGTGCCTTGCTCAAGGGTCTCACCTCAGTCGTGGTATTGAGGGTGGAAGAGAGCGCTGGTTATTCACTCCCCCCACCGACAATTCCTGCCAGACATTGAGACTCGAACCCGCAACCTTCGGGTTACAAGTCCAACTCTATCAAATATATTATTTTAGGACAAGAATTTGATTTAAAAATTTTAAATAAATGTTTTTTACATTTGTTTTTATATATACATTTTTGTATTTATGTATATACTTTTTTAGTTTTATAAAAAAAAAATCAATGAAAATATCTATGCAAATGTATATATTTTTTTAGTTTCTATTTTTTTATTGTTTTTATGTGAATTTTATATAATTTACATATAAACCATTTCAATGTGCCACTGTAATTTCTTTTACATGGTTCTCTGCTGATGACTGTCTTTACAGGCTAAAAAAGCTTTTTCTTTTTTTTGCCTGCCGAGAGCGTCTTCGTATTGCACTTCTTCCTAATATGTGCTACTACTGTAATAGAAAATGATAATGACTGTAATTAAGCTTCTATCATGATTTTAATCGATCTGGCATTACTGATAGCAGAGATGAATGTGAAGGTGGGGGGTGTGGGGGTCATGTATATAGTGGTGTCACAGTGGCATAATTACCAAAAAACACTAAAAGGTTCGACAAAAAGCTTCATATTTAATGTTTTGAAAAATCTCTTCGGAAATGAAGTCTCTCTCCTTAAGATCATTAGCAGACCATTAGCAATGGCAGCCGGGATCCTTACATCATAGTGCGCTAATTAGGTTAAAATGCTCATGGCAGGACAAGCGTCTAGCTGTGATGTACAGGGGAAACGAAATGGCTGAGGTTAATTATACACATTAATGGGGAATTATTGAGTACGCTTGGCCTGCCTCTTAAGTTGTGTTTCTCAGCTGAAATGGCTTCCCAAAATCCCAATAACACACATGCGGAGGGACATCACATGTAACGCGATCATTACCTCGTTTGGAGTCGAACGTGTCTTGCTGTGGAAGTATTTTGACAACAACACAGGGATTATAGATTGTTGAGTAGTGTTGCATAATTGTAGACCATTATTTTGATAGATGTGACCATAAACGTAGATGGCACAGGACGTCGATTACACTACGGTACAATATACGTGAGTGCAGTAAATCCAACACACTCCTAATCAGTACCTTTCACAACTGGGCCTCGGTAAAACCATACAAAGTCTGCTTCTAAATGTTAAGCCTGCTTCCCACCTCTTAGTCAGGATCCTGCTGACAACTTGGAAGGAAGCCCTCCACCACAATCCCTCCCTCCCTTTCTAGGCCCCAACCCATAACAGAGCCAGAGGGCTCCAATCTGGCTCCTTCTAAGAGTCCTCCAATACCCCAGTATTGATTGTCTCTCTACCACAGCCAAACCTCAGCTCAGAGAGATTCCACTAAAAGTGCGCTTAGATGCCTCCAAAGACCAGGCACAAATCCTCAAAAACACCCTGCCGATGGTCCGTCACCGACGATCTGAGTAGGTTTTTATGACAGGAAACGTGCACACTTTAATGATTGTACTTGTACGCCGTAGTCAGTTCTTCCATTAGGGATTCTCACAAAACGTTTTTTTTTTTAACTAAACTATTTTCATTGCTATTGTATTGCATCAATGATCTGGTGTTTTTCTGTTGTACAGAGTCTTGATGAAGTCACAGAAAAACTTGATGTCGACTCAGGGCATCAGCATTGTGTTTGGACCGACTCTCATGTGGCCTGAGTTTGAATCCGGAAACATGGAAGTCAATATGGTGTACCAGAATCAAATAGTGGAGTCCATTCTCATTGAATGCGTGGAGATCTTTGGACCGGAGGGCATGTAAAGCGACGACAGAGTATTCTGGAAAAAAAGACTGAGCAATGAAGAAGGAAAAAAAAAAAAAAGACGTGTGTGTGCTGGCTGAATGTTAAGCTCATGTAAAATGATTTCTTGTGCCTGATGTTTTCATATTTTGCTTTGAAAAAAAAAAAAAGGTTAACATAAAAAATTATAATTAAGAGTCACATTTATAATTTTACATATAAACTTAGAATTTTATTTCTGTATAATGCAAATTTTACATTGTATCATACCTCAAAACATCGACAAGATTGAAAAGCTGTATATTTGTAATGATATACATGGTAGTTTGTGACAGGGAAATAAAGCAGTTTTTGTAAATGGGTTTTGTACACTGATATTTTGTGATGGATAATTTTAGTTTGAAATAAATATGCTGTAAGCGATTTTTTTTTTTTTTGTCAAACATTTATTTGCTAGAAACCTGAGATACCAAACTGGATCTTGCACATGCAGTCTGTTGCAACAGGTATTTGCTTTGTATTGTATTGTGATCTGGTCTTGTGTATTGGCTGTTTTAACTTTAAGCAAAATTTGTAAAGTGATCCCCGGCCACCCTCTTTTGAGCCAGTGCCCCCGACTAATCAAACTGCCAAAGTCCTCTCCAATTCTCAAACAGCAGTCTCTTTTTATTTGCTTCCCGCAGGCCAGTGCTGAGACTGTCTGCATGGAATGTGTTTTTAATTCCATCCCAGAGATAAGAGAGAGTCTGTAATTACGGGAAGAGACATCCCTCCTTGTAGCATTTTCCCTGCATCAGATCCCTCATAGTTTGGCATCTCGAGCAGTAATGATGAAGGGGTACTGGAGAAACAGGAGGGCGACATAAACCAGATTTGCGGCTTGTGCGTCTCTCTAAATCTCGACTGAAAATAACGCAGTGAAATGGGATGCAGCTTTTGGTGACCTCTCTGGCACAGCTGTGCTTCACTCAGGGACCTTAACGAGTTCAGCAGGCCACCAAGACCTTCATTGCAGAAACCTTTGAAAAGATACACACATACTCGTTTTTTTTTTTCTCCAACCACAAAAAGTTTACAGAGAGCTTGGATCTTGTATTGAATGTGGTGGCTTAGTTCGTCATTCAGTTTTGACACCTAAAAAAGTTTCACATGCCAGACGGGCTCACTTGTCTCAATGCTAAAAAATAAGGAAATGCAGACAGCTATGATTATGCCTCTAATGCAGATAGAGCTTTACCTTAAATCCATCCTTTGATTTACACTGCTCTATTGGGAATGAAAGTCTCTTTTAAATGACATTTGAATAACAAAAAATAAAATAAAAATACAGGATATAATGCAGGTTTGATTTATTGTTTTTAATAATTCTATCTTTTAATTTTTATATTTTGTATATTTAATATAATTTATATATTTAAAATATTTACATATATACAGTATACCCAATTACAGACATTCCTGTCTGTGGTTTTGTTATGAAAAAAAACAAACGAACAACAACAACAACAAAAACGGTTTGTTTGTATGGGACTAAAATCAAAATGTCTCATCAGAATTGGACAAATGTCATGATAGAGGTAGACCTCGGTGTTTTATTCCTTGGTCAAAAGTAGGCACTGAACATCAGATGCCCGAGCAGAGTTGAGAGGCCATGCTGTAAAGTTCATTCTTGCATTAAATGCTTCAAATAACAAGAAATCAAAATGTGTGGGTGGATGGACTGAAGTGGTAAGTAACCCAGGGGAGAATATTGGCAGATATTTGCTGTGTACATGAAGCGAACGCCCAGATTTATTCTGTGCTAGAGCCCATGGTCACATGACACTGGGCTTTGTGCAACACAGCTCACACTTTGAGAGCCGTCGTACTGCAGGTGGTGCTTTGCTCATTAATATGTGCACAATTAACGTCCCCCATCAAATTGGCTTGCGAAAAGGTGTGGTGCATTTTGAGTGTTCAGAATGTGGTGTGAAGTAACTGAATCTAAAAAAAAATACAATAAATAAATAAAATTAAATAAATAAAAACATAAAAAAATACCAAAGTATTCATTTCAGTATTGTTGTCACTATAAATAAAAAAAATGTATGCACTACCTTTCGGGGAAGTTTTTTTTTTTTTTTTTTTTATATAAAGAATAGAATTAGAATAGAGAGTGCTAGAGTTAGAGGGTCAAATAAATTTTAAAATGTAATTTATTCCTGTGATGGCAAAACTGAATTTTCTGCCACCATTACTCCAGTCTGCAGTGTCACATGATCCTGCAGAAATCATTCTAATGTGCTGATTTGCTGCTCAAGAAACATTTATGCATAATGCTTTCTTGCTAAATACAAAAAAAAAAAAATCTTACTGACCAAACTTTTAACTTGTAGTGTGTTTATATATATACAAGACGCTTCAAGAAACCTACCTGCGAAGCTACAATACTGTGAAAAGGTGTAAAAATGCTGTAAAGTATGGATGCTTTCAAAAATAATGTCATAAATAGATTTTATTTATCAATTAATTAAACTTATTTATGTGACCAACCTTTGCGTTTAAAACAGCTTTTGTCCTCGGTGCACTTGCGCAGAGTTTTTCAGGTAGCTTTGCAGGTAAGATTCTTGAAGCATCTTGGAGACGTTGCCACAGTTCTTCTGGATTTAGTCTGCTTCAGTTTTTTCTGTTTCCTCATGTAATCCCAGACGGATTGGATGATGGTGAGATCAGATCTCTGTGTGGCGCACTGGCTGTCGTCAGACTCCTTGTGCATACAAAAATCTCACTGCATTATTCCAATTAATGGCAAAAGCAATGTTTAGAAATGTGAACTGACACACTACAGCAAAATATAGAAATAACTGACTTTACCATTTTTTTGTTGGTGAAAATACAAATGGCCTAAGACTTTTGCACAGTAGTATATATATATATATATATATATATATAATATATGT